CTAGGGTAGGGTTCTAGGTGTCTCACCAGAAAAGTGAGCAAAGAGTGCCCATAGCTCAGCAATGTCAGAGGAGAAGGTGACATCAGTGTCCAGGACAATGACTCGGGCCAGGCTGAGAGGCAGGATGCTGGGAAGTACCAGCTTCATTAGCCCATATAGGCCAGAGTAGTGCTTGTTGGGGATCCAGGAGATCAGGGGCTGTGAGGGGAGGGGAGAACATACCAAGTGGCACAGTGGAACACAGCCATAATCCCCCAAAACGTGAAAGATTTGGGCTCCAAGAGGTATGGTAGGACAGGATCTCTCCTCTCCCACCACCCACTGCTGGGGTAAAGAGAGGATGGGCCTAGCTGGGCAGGAGGGGTTTGGGGAGGGAGGGGGTGGTGACTCCTGCCTTGAGCTCTTCAGCATCGTAGAATCGGATCACCACAGCCGGCACCATCCAAGTTCGGAAGAGTGTCTCCAGGATGTTCCTGGCTATAGCATCAGTTACCAGGTGGAGGTGCAGCGGATTTTTCCTTTGGGGTGGAAAGAGTTAGCGTGGCATGGCTGTACAGGAACAATAGAGTATTCTCTCCTGCAGGAGGAGGCCCTGTCTCCTACAAGGAGCTCTTGGGGATGGTCTGATCACCCACACAACTCCCTTCATAAGAAGGGACTTAGTTTCCTCAGCACAGATGAGCAAATAAACTCAGAACAGTGGTGCCGATTGCTTCGTTGTGGGTGGGTTCCTGACCCTCATCCAGGAGGCCTGTCTGTACCTGTAGAACAGCAAGGACTTCACGAGGGTGATGACCTCTCGGCTGGAATTGTATCCCGCACACACGATGGCCACGTGCAACAGCTGAGGAGGAACACCTAAGTCAGCAGTAGTCAGTCACCAACTTCTACTGGCCGGCCTAGCCAGCCTGGTCTAGAACAGTGTAGACCCCAGCTTGCCTCAGAGTTGGGGAAAGGGTTGCCTAGAGGCAACTCCTGAATTTCACAAGTGGAGAAACTGAGGAGTGAAGGGGCGGGCGCTCTGAGCGTCCTCAGGTGTCCCAGTTGGGTGGTCAGATGTCAGGAACTGTGATTCTCATAGATGACCAGATGGCTGGGGTGGAGCCAGGGGGTGGCAGCCGCCAGGGGCCACGAGCACCTACCTCGCACTTGGGTGGCAGTAGAGGTTGCAGGCTGGCGGCGGAGCGGTTACGGCTCCCGTACAGGTCTCCATCGAGGGTGGCAGCTGCCCGTAGTCCGTCTGAAAGGACACGTGGCGTGAGCAGGCAAAGGGAACACTGGGTCCCTACCTCGCCTGCCCAGCTTGCAGCTCTCACATTCAGGGTCCCGGCCGAACAGGAAGAAGCCAACCAGCAGCAGCAGCAGCAGCAGCAACGTGACGGCCCCCAGTGCCCGGGGGCGCCCTCGGGGCAGCATGGCTGTCTGAGGACCTCAGGGCGGGGCGCGACCCCGGGCAGCGGGCTCCATCATGGACCCTGCGGACCAAGAACCAGAGGAGGGTGACGCTCTGGGCCGCAGGGCCCGACGGCTGCTCTCCCGGCACCGGCACAGCTGCCTGCCTCACCTGCTCCAGTGGCTACGGGAAGGCCCAGTTCCTCCTGCGATCGCCCGGTAGCGGGAACCGGGGCAGAGCTGCGAGCCAGCCCCGCCCCCAACCTGGGCTCAGGTTTCACCTTTGCTTGTCTGGGCTGGAAGAGGCGGGGAGACCCCTAAGCAGGGCCCCGCCCTCGCCCCGCACTGGACAGCTCCGAAACAGGCCGGGAGCCTACAACCCCTTTCGGTTGGTTTTGCACCAAGGCACCGGAGGGCTGAAGGCCGCAGGGACAGCTATCCAGGATGGCCCTGTGCCTGCTACCTGCAACCTCCTGGCTCTGGGACCCCATTCCTCCCCCTAAGGGGAGGGACCTGTGACCCTGAGCTCAGGATCAAAGGATTGGCTCGGGCACCGCAAGAGTCCAGGAGCAGGGGGGGATGGGATAGGAATGTCTGGTCCAGAGACTGGAGACACCTGCTCAGGTCGGGGACTGGAGGTTGGGCCTGCTAGGGACACCTGTAACCTGCGCGTCCTCCCTGGCCCTTAGTTCAGGTGGCCCAGGCCTGCCCAGCCGCGGACTGGAAGACACCGGCACTGCGTCCTTTTGAAGGCCAACTCCCCGACTGCACAGTAGCAGGCAGAGAGCTCCACTGCCGCCTGGGCAGGGCCGTGGATTCCCCAGCCCTTGTCTAGAGTGCGTTGATTGTGTCGGGCTCCAAGGCCTGGATCCCTTCCTCCCTCTTCTCTCCACCCCTCAGCAGGCCTCAGGCACTCCTCTGGCCCTATAGGGGTGTGGCAAGCTCTGGGCTGTGAAGGAGACTGGCCATGGTCGGTTGAGCACTACTGAGTGCCAGGTCCTGAGCTAAGTGTTTACCAAGCCTCCATTCAGTTAACCCTCATTCGCCCCGAGGACACAAGATGAGATTGGCCCTGAAGAGTGAATGGAACCTGCACCCTTTGGCCTTTTGCTGTGGCAGGCAGCCCTCTACTGCTCCTGCTCAGACTCCCAGGTGTGACTGCTTTCTCAGTCTTCCCTAGGGGTCTTCCACCTCAGGACCTGCCCCTGCCCTTCCTTCCCTGGGAATGTAGATCTCTCCACAACTCTTGCTTATCTTCCTAGCTCAAGGGAAGCTGAAGTTGCCTGTTTGTTCTGCGGGTCGCCCCGACCCCCAATTCCAGGTGTTGACTTTGTATGGAAACTCGACCTGCCCTCCAAGGACCATACTAGGCCTCACAAAGAACTCAGACTGGATCTTTGGCCCAAGGTCCAGCTGTACAAAAGGAGGCAGACCCATAAACAGCAGCCTGGGGCTGGCTCCTCCCCCTGAGTGATCCGAATGCCTTTCTCTGGGAGATTGGGGATCAGCCTCTGGGCCTTTGGAGGTTGCTATGGAAACCGAAAGCTGCCTCTTGTTCATTGAGGAATTAAGAGAAACCTGTAGTGTCCAGGCTTTGAATCCCAAGGCTTCATCTTCAGCCTGTAGTGAAGTTGGGGTAGATGGTGGGTGGAAGTGGAAGGGTTGCTCCCCGTGGCCCTCAACAGAGATGGTTGTGGGAGGTGAAAATGTGAAGGAGCAGATAGGATCACAGGCAGAGCCTAGACCAAGCTAAGTCTTCCATAAAGAGATATGAGTTAGTGGAGACTCATCATGGTGACCCTGTTTCAACTTCAGCACTGTAGGTACGGAAATGAACACAAGGACAGAAGTATATGCTGGGCCCTCAAGAAGCCCTCTGGAATCTTCAGAGGAGAGGAAGGCACAAGTGAGTCTAGAGACCCCATTTGAAACAGCTCTGCCCAGGACTTTACTTTGTGACCTTGGACCTATCCAGCACCCTCCCTAGGTCTCTGGTGTCCTCATCTGTGCCTGTCCAACTGGTCTTTCTTCCCCTGTGACTTGGGACAGATTGAAGAAGAGAGGATCCAGCCCAATTTATCCAGAGGCATTTGCAGCCCAGCCTTGCTGTCAGGTCCAGGCAGGAATCCAGCAGGGAGGGGCCTCCTTCCAGCCTCCAAAGCCTGCATACACCTCTGCTCTTTCTTTCTGAGCCTAATCAGGCTCCAGATCTAGAGAGGAAATTCAGGAAGCCCTGCTGCTGCCAACCTGGCTGGACCCAGTCCCTGTACTGCAGAGAGAAGGGCCCTTCACCATCTGGATGTGGAGGGGAGGTGGTGTACCACTCTGGATCCTCCCCAGAACAAAAGACCATTTGATGGAATCTTGCACAAATGTACTTGCCCTCGTGTACACACAAGTACAAACACACACACACACACACACACACACACACACACACACACACCCTCAGTCCAGCTGCAGCAGAAGGCTAGAGGAATGGCTCAAAAGCAGTAAAGTCACTGAATTCCTGAGCATAGATCTTAGCCAAGCCTGCCTCATATGTCATGGCTCATGCTAGAGAATGCTACCAAAGGCCTTGCTGTGCTGTCTGGGACAAGTAGTTGGGCCTCCCTGGGCCTCATCTGTGGACAAGAGTTCCCACCAATCTGATGAGGTTGATGTGGTAGTGACAAAATAAGCATCTGGCAGAAGCAAGCATAAGGGGTATTTTATTTTGGTTCACAGTTTGAGGGTCTAATCCATCATGGCGGGGGAGCTGTGTTTGCAGAAACCCGAGATAGCTTCTTGGTTCCCAGCTTGCTTTCTCTTTTATTCAGCTCAGCTCCAACCCACCTAATACAAGCACCCAGGCTGAGTACTCTCAGCTCCATGTTTCTGGAGACACATCATGGACACACTCAGAGGTATGTTTCTACAGTGATTCTAAACCCACCAGGTTGACAATGAAGATTGAACAATCACAATTGCCAATAGGGTGAGGCATATGTGGTACACTCGAGACAGGGTGAAGAACAACTTCCATGGTACCCAAACCACAGACTCTTCTGAGGTTCAGAGCATCTTTCCCTGAATCTTTGTTTGTGGGCATTGGCATGAGTGTATTTGGCAACGATAGGATCATGGCTCCACACAGACAAAGAAAGGGAAGGAAGTGGATTGTGGCTTCCTGGTGAGTGTGGTGTTTAAAATGTCCTGGCTCTGGCTCAGACTAAATCAGCATTCTAATCATGACTAGACATAGTAGGCACTTTAAAAAATGGTTTTAATTTAAAAATTAAAAAACTAAACAAAAGCAGACAACAATAACAAAAAGCAGTCTTACTCTAGCAAAAGCTAACCTGGAACTCATTACATGGGCGAGGTTGGCTTTGTACTTGCAGTGATCCTCTTGAGTCTGCTTCCTGAATGCTGGAATTACTTACAGAGATGTGCCACCATGCCCATCTTTTTATTTTAGGTTTTATTTCATTTTATGCATACGAGGTTGGCCAGCATGTCTTTCTATATGCCTTATGTCTGCAGAGATCATAAGAAGTCATCAAATCCTCCAAAACTGGAGTTATAGATGGTTGTGAGCCACCATGTGGGTGCTGGGAACCAAACCCAGATCCTCCGCAATAGCAACAAGTGTTCTTTTACTCCAAGCTATCTCTCTAGTACCACATCCAACTTTTTGTTGTTGTTGTTTTGTTTTGTTTTGTTTCGTTTTTTTGAGACAGGGTTTCTCTGTATTGTTTTGGAGCCTGTCCCGGAACTCGTTCTGTAGACCAGGTTGGCCTCCAACTCACAGAGATCTGCCTGCCTCTGCCTCCTGAGTGCTGGGATTAAAGGCGTGCGCCACCAACGCCCAGCCACACCCAACTTTTTAAGATTCTTAAATGAGCATTTCTTAACCCCTGAGAGCCATCTCCCTAGTTCCTTTATGAACATTTTTATTAGTGTTTATTTATTTATTTATTTATTTTATATAATATTCTTTTTTTCTTTTTTTGGTTTTTCGAGACAGGGTTTCTCTGTGGCTTTGGAGGCTGTCCTGGAACTAGCTCTTGTA